AAATGAAGGACAAATTCTTCTTATAATACTAATCATCTGCAATACTATTGGAGAGATGTCAAACTTTATTTTGTTAGGGATATTCTCACAGGATTCTCTCAGAAATTGCTGGCAGTTAAAGATGAACACCCTGAATACTGACTATTCTTGGTCGTGTTCTATCAGAGGATCAATATCTATCAGCACATTTATAACTCATTTTCCGCAAACTGACTGGAAAGCTGTATTCTTGAAATGTTCAGTTTCTTCTCTGACCTCTACACTTTTACACACAGCAATATATTTGGGGCCTTTGAATTCTATGCTATCCACACATCTGTAAATGAGGAGTAATGAGACTAGTCACTTCAGTTATCTGGGCCTACATCCTCCAAAGTCTCTCATCCTTTTTCGATTTGAACACAGGTAAGTTCTCACTGGAACTTTATGCTCTTCTATCAGGATTACTGGGTTCCAGCAGGGCCTTCCATGATTAGGCAACCCCAAACCATCTCCCATCAATCAAGAAATACCCCTACTTCTCCAGGTATGTACTACTTAATTGTAACATCCATGGAAGCTTTATTAGAATTGTGATCAATGTTATTCATAAATACAGCCAAAAGAAAAGAACAAGCCTCATAACTAAATCTGTTTAATTACTGATGTACTACAGACTGCTTCAATTTCATTGGATCTATTTAGGCTTTTTATATCCTCTTTGCTCAATTTTAATTGGTCATATATGTCTAGAAATTTGTCAATATCTTTCAGGTTTTGCTTTTTATTCAATATAATTTTTGGTATATTCTCTAATGATGCCCCAGATTTCAGTGGTGTCTATTTTAGTGTTGTCTTTTTCATCTCTAATTTTATTATTTTGGATCTCTCTCTCTCTCTCTCTCTCTCTCTCTCTCTCTCTCTCTCTCTCTCTGTGTTACTTTGGCTAAAAATTGTCAATTTTATTCATATTTTCAAAACAACTTATTTTTGCTTCATTGATCCCTTATGCTGTTCTTTAGTCTCTATTTATTTTTGTTCTGACCTTTATTATTCCTTTTTTTCTACTTGATTTGGGGTTTGCTTGTTTTTGCTTTTCTAAGAACCTGAGATGGATCATTAGTTTATTAATTTGAGATCTTTGTTTTTCTGATGGAGAAACTCATACCTATAAACTTCCCTTTTATAACTGCTCTTGCTATGTCCCAAAGGTCCTGGTAGATGATATTTCCATTTGTATTTGATTCTAAATATTTTCCAACTTGTCCACTCATTTCTTCAATGAC